AAATTCAAAATGGCGTAAGCAATATGGCAGACGGAAATATCGAAAAAAAAATTTTTTATAATAAAAAAATTTTAAACCACTAAAAAAATTGGAAAAAATTTGTAAACATTTATAATAAACAAATTAAGTTTTTCAGTTTTTTCATAGATACTACCCCTAAGGGGGGTGGGGGGTAAACCACCCCTAACACAAAATAACTATAAGTATACTTCAATCCATAATATTTTGTAGAAGGTTTGTATGTAGGGGTTTTTGAGATCGCTCTTTGCAAATCTGATATCAGATTTTGAAAATTCAAAATGGCGGTACCAATGTGGTGGACGAAAATGTCAAAAAAAATTTTAACTTTCATAAAAACTTGTTTACAAATGTGTGATTTTTGTAGCCTGTACATGTGAACTAAAGAGCCTTAAACCCTAAACCCCTAAGCAACAAATAGGCTAGATGCCTGTGCTTTTTAACCAAATCACCTCAAATTCCTAAATTTATAAACAAGATAATTCTGTGTGTGAAGCAGTTTTATAATTTCCGTAGAAATTGTTATCAGAATGTTATTGAAATTTCTTTATTATATATATTTGCTTATAATATTATAGTATAATAATAATAATAATCTACAATCTTTTAACTTTTGCCATAGTGCATTTTTTGTATTGAGTATAAAATATATTATTTTACGAAGTTTTTACAATAATGGTAGTCCTCATAAAAGTGTTTAAAGCGCAATGCTTTTTCGCACTAACCACATCGTACAATTGCAATGTTTTTGCACCCTTCTATTGCACAATGTGTTGCACAAGACTTTCCAAAACTGAAATCTGTAGGATTATCAAATTTATCTAGTTTTTCATTGACGTAACCTCTTTTATACCAGAAATATTTAAACAAATCTATATATCTCAGTAAAGACAGTTGGTTGTGAACCAATGATTGAAGTTTAATTATATTATTTCTTACATGTAGATTCATATCATGCTCCATTAACATTACATTATCAGAAAATGTTCGGACAAGGTTTTTCCAAATACGGAATCCATAGACATCAAGTGGTTGTATTTTTCCTGTGGTTCCAGTTGGAATTTTTTTATGTTAATGATTTTATTTTGAGGCATCGTTTCTTCTATAACTTTGTCACAATGACCACTCAGAGAATCAAGTAATAATATTGAGTGATGGCCTACATGGGGATAAAATAATTTTTCCAACTAGATTTTGAAATGATCTGCAATTAAACGACTTACTAATTAACTGATCAACGATATTACAATGTAAAAATTGTTATTAATTCCCTTAATTGTTGTTAATTTGTAACACGTTCGTTAATAATTTTGAATTCCGTATGGAAAATAAGCCCGAACAACGTCGCGTCACAAATTATTTTAAGGGGAAAGGCTCGGAAGGCACATTTGCTTCGTCGCGGAAAATTAACGAGGGCTTATGTCGTCCGGTAGTATCGACAATCGCGATTTAGCTAATTACGAGAGAGACAGGTTGTACAAATAAACTCATCATTTCTGATATATTTACAATTTATTAAAAACAGCAATTTACATACGGCGTTTGACGTGTGCGTCGGCCGAGTCCGGGCTAGTCCGTTCCGTGCGAATTAACGCACAGGAAACAGAACACCGCCTTACAACTGTTCCGCGAATTCCCGCGAATGCGATGCGAATTTACGTATACAGTCACTCGTCCGCGTCCGGCCGATACAATGCTCGGAGAGAGAGAAATCAAGGCGCGCACCGAGAAACGATAAAGGGTACCTGACCTTAGGAGGGAGCGCTACTGTGGAAGTCCACGTCTGCTGGGCCCACTATGTAGTCCTCAAACGGTGGATCTCTAGGTGGATGCAGCTAGTCTTCCTCTTCAATGCTGTTCACTCGATGGCAATCAACTATTCACACACTTTTTAGTCGCGAGGCTCAACTAGCTCGAAATTCGTTGCTGGTCAAAGCCCTACTATTCCCGCGATCTCGCGCTTTCCGCGACGTCTTACGCGCCGCTCCCTATAGGTACCCAAAACGGCCGAGCGCCGCCGGCTACGCACACACGTGCGGCTTATGCCGGCGATACTACTTCTCTCTCTCTCCTTCGTTCCCCGCTCTCGCTCCATCCCTCTAACGCCAGGCATCTCCGCCGATCAGGAATCAAACCTGCAACAAAGGCACATCATGCATCGATACTCGGTTTTCATCAACCGAGACCGATGTGGCAGCGGCTCAGGGGAAGGCACGCGGAAGAGAGAGAGAGAGGTGAACAGGGCGATCGAACTCAACGATCGATTCGCCTGTCAAAATAAGTGTAAAGGTATGTTAAATCCATCGAATTTAGGTACGTAGTTAACAGCGTCTTTCACGCTAACATTTTTTATTGGCGATACTACAGTGCCGCTCACGCACTTTTACCCCCCCCCCCCCCCCCACGGACAAAATCAGTCTAACTTCAAAGTTTTATATCTCTGGTAGAAATTAACGTACAGAGACGCGCGTGGGTGCGTTTGAAAGGTCTTTCAGAGAGCTTTCAAATGATATGATTCACGGTTGCCATCGATTGTTTTTTTAAATTTTGCAATAATTATGCAAAATTGAAAATTCTGAAATTTTTTTATTATTTTTGACAATTAGCCAATTTTGGAAAAAAAATCGTACGAAAATTTGAAGTACACCATTTTTTAGCTATTACCAAGCCCTATCTGAATCACTCATCAAAAATTTATTTTTGTCAAATATGACGCGCGCACGGACATTTTTTCCTGGAAGTAACAGTTTTTTTCAACATTTTTTATCTCCGTCAAATTGTAACAATCGAAAAAAATTTATAGGAGAAAAAATGTTTGTTGTTTCACGTAGAATACTGCAATAATTTTTTTTTTGGTTTTTCGAAATATTTTTTTTTTCGGTTTAAATTATTTTTCAAGGTCGAAAAAAAAAAGATTTTTTTTTTATGTAATTTACGATACTTGTTATGTAGTATTATTGAATGGGTGGAAAAAAATTTTTTTTTGTGTTTTCTCATCTTTTTAGCGTACCGACTGTGAGAAAAAAAAATTGAAAAAAACCGAAAAAAAAAATTTTTCGAAAAACCAAAAAAAAAATTATTGCAGTATTCTACGTGAAAAAACAAACATTTTTTCTCCTATAAATTTTTTTCGATTGTTACAATTTGATGGAGATAAAAAATGTTGAAAAAAACTGTCACTTCCAGGAAAAAATGCCCGTGCGCGCGTCATATTTGACGAAAATAAATTTTTGATGAGTGATTCAGATAGGGCTTGGTAATAGCTAAAAAATGGTGTACTTCAAATTTTCGTACTATTTTTTTTCCAAAATTGGCTAATTGTCAAAAATAATAAAAAAATTTCAGAATTTTCAATTTTGCATAATTGTTGCAAAATTTAAAAAAACAACCAATGGCAACCGTGAATATCATTTGAAAGCTCTCCGAAAGACCTTTCAAACGCACCTACGCGCGTCTCTGTACGTTAATTTCTACCAGGGATATAAAACTTTGAAGTTAGACTGATTTTGCCCGTGGGGGGGTAAAAGTGCGTAAGCGGCACTGTATGTTTTGTGGGGAATTCATTAGTCCTGTTCTGAAAGTCCCCGGCGTAGAATACGTAGTAAATGGGGTGATTTCAAAATTAGTTTTATTTGTAGTGGCAAAATGTCGAGTTGGAGTGAAATCAACTTTTTCCGATTTATTATGAGCCATTTCTGGTGATTTGGAAGCGGATGGTGTATTAGTCATAGACACGTTTGTAGTGGATGCGTTATACGTGTCTGAATTTCCAATTGCTGTTTCGTAACCCATTTGATTTTCAATGAGCTCAAGTAATGGAATTTCAGTTTTATCTAATTTTAATTTTTCGAAATTTATATCCGTAATAGCGTTAAGGAGAAATGCTAGATTTAAATTTTTACGAGTCATTTCAATGAGGATGTCGAATATTAGGTCATGTTTACATAGAAAGTCCAATGGGTTTGTATCAATGTAGTCTTGTAAATTATATTTTAATCTTTGTAATTCCTCGACTTGGGTAATTTGCTTTGTTTCGGTGGGTGGATGTCTGATGCAGATATGCGAGACATTCTGTAAGCGTAGGTTCCCTGTTTGTCGCGAAGTTTGGTTCTATTTCGCTAATTTTTTTAATTAGTAATTTGAGTGTAATTAGTTTTCGTTCGTAAGGTGTTTCGACCATTGTAATTATTTTGCCATAAGATCCTAATTACCAAGAATGAGGGGCCCCTAATTGTTATGTCTAGGCGAGGAGATATTACGGTTAGACGTAATAATGTTTCAAATACTGTCGCGTTGGTAAAAGTTGGATATTAGTCAGAAGTTAAGCAGAGGTTGGTTAAAGGGATAGTGCCTTAATTATATGTAGCGTGTTTAGGTAGATAACTTAGTTTCTTACCTTGTTAGGATTAGATCTAAAAAGAGGTTTTTACAAAACAGTCTCAGGTGCTTGCGCTTGATTTAAGATTTATTGTTTAAAGACAATTTTATAATGCTTAGCAGAGTATAATTGCGGTTCTGAGTAGCCGGATAGCGAGACTTAGAAATAACTAAATCAGTATAAGTACGAGTACTATGGTATGAGTGCTAATATGAACGCTAATGTAAACTGTAATATGAACTGCGCGAACTGTGTATTGTGTGAGCTGAACTGAACTACTCTGTGCGGATCCCGATCCAGCCTTTTTATACCATAGGCTGATGTGCCCCTTCCTGTGTTTTCGCCGAATTAATATGCGGTGAGTAATATTCGCGGAAATATTATGGAGAACGTGCTTAGACTAATCTATCCCGCTAGATAGATTTACAAATGTTCCCGGGAGGGTTGATACGATAGGAAATTAAATTACCGATACCCAGTTAGTTACTATAACCCGTTGTGTGACATTTACTTATCATAGTTCGTCACGTACGTTTTCTTTGTATTGACGTGACAAATGTATACTTTATATTGAATATACTACTAAAGTTTAATTTCATTTCAGCGCTTGCCAAGTATGTACACCAAATGCAACTAACACCGTGTGGAGCCATTGTCAATGCGTATTAGCGGATGGTGTAGAAAGAGGGATTCTAACAGCAAATAGAATGATACCAGGTCCAAGCATTCAAGTTTGCGAAGGAGATAAAGTGGTTATTGATGTAGAAAATCATATGGAAGGGATGGAGGTCACAATTCATTGGCATGGTATTTGGCAAAAAGGATCACAATATTATGATGGTGTACCATTTGTTACACAATGTCCTATTCAACAGGGCACGACATTTAGGTATTGATTTGAAACTTATATATTAAACAAAATCATATACATTCATGTTTTAAAAATAATCTTAGTTAATTATTATTATTCATTAAAATTAGCTAAATTATTCAAATATTTCTATACGTATACCGTTTTAACTTTTCAGTTTTTCCAGAACATTTTGTTATCTATTATTAGGAAGTACCATTATCAATAATATTGAAAGAAAAATGTTTATCTACTTCGTGTATAACTGTAGTGCCTCAAATTTCTATCAGGAAATTCTTATCTACTGAAAATAAGTTTGTACTTTTGATAGAATTGACTCAGACCGATGATGGGGCTTTCTAACTTCAAGAAGCTAAACTTAGAACGCATAAATATTCGTTTCATATAAGATGTTCTTGACACACGTTTATCAGCAACTCTAGATAGCTATGGTTTTCAGAAAGGACCCTATATATGCACATCTCTCCATTTCTATATAATTAACGACCGGTACCAAAAGCACTAGACTTAATAAGTTGTTTATATAGAGTACTTAAATTGAAGGAGAGTATTGGTAACGAATAATCATTAAGCAGTTATATACATGTATCATAAATATCCTTAATGGGAACGTAACAATTACGCATGGATTTTGGTAAGAAAAATTATATATTTCCAAATGCGTATATATACAATTAGCATTTTATATAGATTTCTTTGAATTGTGTAAAAATCGTAAGCAACAATTGAGAGACAGTAAGTAAATTATTTATGTTTATTTACGTTTTGTGTATTTACTTCATCTGAATTATTCACATCAAAAAAATATATTGAAGGTAAATAGGTTTTAAATTACAATATATGATACAAAAATGGTATTCATCCTCACAGTTATAAATAATAAAGCGATAAATTATATGTCTAGTAATATAACGGTTTCAGGTTCGATTTGGTCAAGTTGTAAAGGAAGAGTCGTTGTTTTTCAATTAATGTTTGCTTCCGACTATTTACCAAATTATTTATGCGAGGATTCGGAAGACAAAAACGGCTTAGATTGCTGAGCAACCTGGCAGGTTGCGACGCTTGCGCGTAAGAGAGCTTGGGATAGGAAGCAAAAGGAATTTCAAAATTGAATCTTACAATTTATTTAATTGCAAGCCAAAATAAAAGTAAATTACAATTATATTAAGAAAAAATTTTATTTATTAAGAAACAATTTGCGCGGTACATAGAGGTGAGGCTCTTCAACAGATTCGGACAATCAAAGATCGATCAGCGATTGCGTTTCTGCTCATCGTAGAACACCAGATCGTCCTGAGTCTGCAACACCATGATCGTCATGCACGCGTCTACGAAAAAAAGGAGAAAGTGAAGAGAGAGAAGAGAGAGAGTACGCGCAGTGCTGGTTGTCTCCAGCTGCCACACATTCTCCTCCGGTGGGCTCGAGCGTCAATTTTGATGTTACGAAAATCGATGGGCGTGTTTCAGAGACCGAGGACGATCTGGTTCACCAAATCAACAGTGGACCCAAACCGCAATGCAGAGTTCTACAAAAATGCTCGTCATCTTCCTCTCGATCACCACCAGTATGTCACCAATCAGCAATCGAACTCTCTTCTTTTCTCTTTTACCGCTCTCTTTTATTCTCTCTCCGAACGCCTCTTTACCCTCCGCAGCTCATCTGCTCTTAGCTCCTAAGTCGCTAATCCGCACCTCAAACCAATAAACTAGACATTAGTAATATACTAATGTAATTACACAGATCCTCGGCCCAACGATAGCGCGCGCAGACAGAGAGGCCAGATATGACAAGGAAATCGCTACTAGGCGAAAATTCAATTTTACCGCCAAAAGTTAACTAAACTCTAGCCTGTAAATTTTAATCGCTCATACTATTAGTCCACAAACTTCAAATCGACTAACTCCTAACTTCAAAATCTTAAATCCAACCCAACCCACAAATCTTAAGCCTTTATTCATTTATTAATCAGTTGTCTGTAATAAACACATTAATTTATCTAAATAAATAAATTGGTAGAGGAAATATATTGTTAGGATATAAATTGGCAATATTTATTTGATTAGAACCAATACATGCAGAAGTCGTTTGTAATGCATGCTAAAGGGCCAATTTTATAAATTCTAATTTATACAGGTCAATCAATTAACTTGGGGACATCTTTCCACGGGTCTCAATATATTCTTGATTAACAAATTATCTCAAACTAAATTTATCTATATAAATATCATTTTTTTTACATTTCGATTAGTAATTTTCAAATATTTTATTAAGTATATTTCGATTACTCATCTTGAAAACTTTTCTCATAAATGAACAATTGAATATGAATACACTTTGAACAGAGAAAACACGTTCTAGATTAGGAAATCCAATTCTTTGCTAATTGATTTTGAAGGAAACGTTTGACTCCTTTATTATATTTAAGTAGTATCAGAATTCATTCTGGTTTCGCGGAAATTAAGATGATATTCCAGAAAATTATTAACTGTTTAAAAAAATTGTCATTATCAAGGGGGTTATCATAGAGACTTGCGGTATACGAGGTGTGTTCAAAAAGTAAGGTGACTTTGTATTTTTAAGAAAAAATATTTATTTATTTATCAATATTTATGTTGTCCCCTTCAAAGTAATCCCCCTCAGATACAATACACTTATGTCAACGGTTTTTCCAATCCTCAAAGCACTTCTCATAAGCACTTTTCGGTATAACCTTGAGCTCTTCCAGTGATGCAGTCTTTATCTCTTCAATCGTTGCAAATCTCCGTCCTTTCATAGGTCTCTATAGTTTTGGGAACAAGAAAAAGTCACATGGGGCCAAATCCGGTGAATATGGTGGCTGAGGCATGATGGTATGCATAATAAAAAAATTACCGGTATACCAAAAAAAAAATGACTAAATCGGGAGATAATTACATCATACGTCTTAATATTAGAAATCAACGTCTTACTACTTCTCATGGGTGCTCCGAAATCAACGATCGCGTTGACAATAAAATAAGTGTTTTTACGGTAAAACTGCGACTAGTTAAAAAAGGTCTATTAGGAAGAGTTCCTGTGGAAAAACCGCTTTTGGTAAAAATTAATCAGAAAAAGAGACTTCCATGGGCTAAAAAGCATAGAAGTTAGAGCATTAGTCAGTAGAAGAAAGTGCTATGGAGTGATGAATCCAAATTTAAAGTTTTTGGCTCTAAATGTCAGATCTACGTGCGACAACGACTAAACGAAAATTTCTCAAAAGAATGTATCGTACCATTTCTGAAACATGGAGTCAGTTCTGTGATAGTTTGGGGATGCTTTGCAGGATCGAAAGTTGGTGAACTAGTTAAAATAAATGACATTATGAAAAAAGAATAGTACAAAGAAATTTTGCAGAAAAATATGACTCCATCTGGTAAAAAAATTATTAGGAAATAATTTACCTTCCAACAAGATAACGATTCAAAGTATACTTCCAAATTGCGTAAAACTTGGAAAACTTATAGAAATAGAAATAATTAACTGTCGTGAAATGGCTACCGAAATCACCAGATCTTAATCTGATCGAATTACTCTGGGAAGAATTAGATCGAGCTGTACGTAAGGTGTGTCCGACTTCCAAATTCCATTTATGGAAAATTTTATAGCAAGAATGAAAAGAAATCATGAGTAAAAAATTGGGTAAATTAATAGCAAGGATGTCTCGATTATGCAATGTTGTGATACAAAATTAAGGTGTTCATTTCGATGAAAAAAATATTTTAATGTAAAAAAAGAATTGTGATAATACGTATGCATATAGATAGTGATTTATGTAGTTTATCAAGATATCATAATTGCAAACATTATGGTTATATAGTACCATAAAGTATTGTTCAGTTGAAACTAAAGTCTGTGATATAAATAGCAATTGTATTTTGTTTTCTAGTTAATGGAATATGACGAAATAAAATCGGATGTTATTTTTTTGTGTTTCAAGTTGTACAGTATAAAGGACAAATGTTTGTATATACGTTTATTCATTTGAGAAGATACATATATTATATATTCCTAACTTAATTAATGATTTTAATTAATACCATTTATCCAATTGATAAAATATAGAGTAATAATAAGTTGAACCTCAAAATAAAAAATTTTACCTTTTCTAAACCTTCCAGAATATTATTCAACGTTATCTATACACTAAATAGAATATTTTGTCCTAATAACATTCTTCTTTCTGTATGGAAATTCGCAAGCTGTTTAACTTTGTATTAAAAGTGATTTTTTTCACAAAAATCGCTATAACTTTGCTTAAAAAAATGATAGATAGTTTTACCAGGCGACATTTGAAAGGACTTAAAAGTACCTATCAAATATTTTGAGTCGATTTATTAAATATTTTTTCACAAAATGGCGTGGAATTTAAACGTGACGATAAAATATATTTTTTTAAATCCTTCAACTCTGATACAATGATATAGAAACTAATTTACATGCTTTCTAACATACATAAGCTAACAGATGGCAGAGAAACTTTCAAAATGATGAGCTGCAGATATTCGTTCGACGATTCCAACGAGAGTTACAAAATTTTTAATTTTATACAATTTTCAGTTCAGGTAGCCAAATCTTTTTGAGCGAGAGTGTATGGTCAGATAGTACTTCGTGGTTGGAAGGAGAGGTGCTACCTCGGCAAAGATGCTGTCTCACCCCATTACGGGTGTGTTATTGCCAGGCCATAATTTTCGTTTTCCTATATTGTATATTTTATATATTGCAGCGATAGTCGATTCGATCAATCGATACGTTCGCGATTCGGTAGCACTCGCGATGCTAGAGCGAACGTCTAAAAGAGAGAAGGGGCGCGCGAGAGTTCAATTTTTCAGTTAAGCCTCAGCTGCTGATCGTTAGGGTACTGCCAAAGTTTTCCACTGTGTTTTGCCGTTTTCCAATCGAAAGTTTTCTTGGTTTTTTGGATACGTACGCGAGTAATCGTAAATAGTCAATAAAAGTAGCAGAAAATAACAGCAGCAGCGAACAGCAGCATTAAGTGTAG